GACCGCATTGGATGGGACTATCTATCGAGGAGCAGAAGCTGATATAAGTATTCATGATGTAAATGTACAAAATAACCAATACAGCAAAAGTCAAATTTGGTTAGAGAATGGACCTCGCGGTGAACTCAATAGCATACAAGTTGGTTGGACGGTAAGTTGTTATTAAACTTATAAAAGAAAATGTTTTCTTTATACAAGGTCATACTATTTATCACAGGAAATATAACTGAAAATATAAATATAATACATTTATGCAATAAAAGTATATAAATATATTTATTAGCAAGTAAAAGATCGTTTAAACAGTAAAATAATTATTCACAAATAAAAAAATATAACTAAGTTATTTTGATCTAGTGTTAGTAAATTCATAATCAGATTTTGGAGAACCAAAGTTTGAGTAAGTTTATTTTTTAAATAAATTTTTTCATCAATTTTGAATTTTGTACAGGTGCATCCAAGATTATATGGTGATAGTTTAGCGCGATTTACAATATATTGGACTGTGAGTAAATGAATTATTTTCTTAAATATGTTTCTGTATTTTCTTATAAACATAACTAAAGTCACACCAGTGGTTTGCTTTTACCATTTTTCTTGCATAAATGTTTACATTTTATTTTATATTTTGATTTATTAGACAGATGGCTATAAAAAAACTGGATGCTATGATACAAAATGTCCTGGCTTTGTACTTGTTAGTCGAGATCTTTACCTCGGAACAACATTTGGTACATCCTCTATTTATGGTGGTAAAAGAAGTGTTTATGTTCAACCTAAAGTTTTCCAGGTTAAAATTTCTCTACTTTATATACAACTAGCAGTTGATCCGCGCTCCGCGCGGGAGGTTTATAAATTTATTTTGTTAATTTTTTATTTATATTGTTATATTTTATTATCTTTTTGATTTATTTTCATATATTATCTTTTTAAATTCATAAATATTTTCTCTTTAATTATTATCTTTTAATACTCAAAATTGGATTAAAAGCATTTGATTTAATTTATGAAATATCATTTTTTTCATTTTATCATGTTATAAACATTAATGTTTTAATATTTATTAGGATGGCTTCTCCGGAAATTGGGCATTAAAAGTATTTGATGAAGTAGTTGGATATTGGCCCAAAGAGTTATTTACACATTTAAAAGAAGGAGCTACTTTGATACGCTTTGGAGGAAATACATTTACATCCCCCGATGGAATTAGTCCTCCAATGGGAAATGGTCATTTTCCAGTTTTTGACTTTCAAAAAAGTTCACATTTTTTGTTTGTTAGAGTTATGAATTCAAACTATGATATTATTGATATTGAAGACAAGAAAACAAGACGTTACGCCGATTCTTACCAATGTTATAGAGTATCGTATTGGGGATATTCCAAGCGCACTGGAGTATCCTTTAGTTTTGGAGGACCAGGTGGAAATTGTGGCCTTTGATGATTTATGAGTCTAGTATATGTATTGACCAAACTATATCAAATGCAGAAGAAATAAAAGTTGATTAAATTATATATTTGTTGTGTTCGAGAAGTATTTTAAGTATTCAAAAATATATATTTAAGGATGAACGTAACAAAAAATAAAGTTGTAATTTCAAAACACAAAAGCAGACAATTACTTTACATTATACATTGTTGTTACCAACCGAAAATTGTTGAACAAGGATAATTTCATAATCAACATGTGATTGTGGTCCCTAAACCAAAATGTAAAGCAATTACGTTATTAAATATGTTAATATACACCGGAAATGCATTTGCATCTCATGATGGAATTACCTCTCATGATGGAAAATGGACAATTTTTTACCTTCAAAAGAATTTAAGGTTTGATCATGTGAAAGTTATGAATTCAAACTATATTTAAGACTTATGATAAAATGTGATGCATATTCTAAGTATTTTAGAAAAATAGATAGAAAAAGGTAAATTAAATAAGCGGTGTTATAGCAAGATGAAAAGTATGAGGGTAGCATTCTCATTTGAAGGATAATTGTTAGTTAGGGGTGGGCGTTCGGGTACCTATTCGGGTTCGGGTCGGGTTTTCGGGTTTTCGGGTTTTTCGGGTCTTCAGGTATAGAAAAATAACACCTAATCGGGTGTATTTAAATTTTGGGTCGGGTTCGGGTAAACATCCATCGGGTTTGGGTGTTTTCGGGTTATACCCAAAACCTCAAAATATTTTTCGAGTTCGATAGGATTTGTAATTTTTAAATCCGAACCAAAGGTAAAAAACCCGAAATCAATCCGAACTGAAAATAAAAAATTGAAATCAATTTAAAGTCGTTAAAAATGATTGTAACAAAAGTACCAAGCTAAAATAAACTGATTGTAATCATCAATATAAAATAAGCTAACATTACCAAACTAAATTGAATTAATAAAAAAAAAAAAATCCAAACACAAAAACAACAAGTTCATAAAACCGATAAGTTCTTGAGTTCCTGAAACATCAAATAACACCAAATTCAAAGTTAGAATCATATCATATAGTCACTAAACTAAGCAAATTGCCTTAGAAGAAAGGCAAGAGTCGATATTGTACAAAGATCCTAACGAAGATTATATAACCTTGGATGGTTACGGGTATTTATTTGGGTGTTCGGATATACCCGATCGGGTTCGGGTACCCAATTTATTTATTATAAACATCCAACCGGATATTTGGTATGAAATATACCCAACCCAAATTGTTTACATTGGGTCGGGTTCGGGTTTCGGGTACGGGTATTTTGCCCACCACTAATTGTAACACTTGTGAAACAAATTTGGGATTTTGGTATGGGTCTCGATCGACACCAATGGACAATGGTGGATGTCGCTTGACAACATAAAATTTCAGGCTGTTATGTATGTGTAAAATCCATGAACCAGTCTGGTAAGGGTGTCGATTGACACCAGTGAAGGGTGTCGCTCGACACTATTAGTTTTCGGTTTGATTGGTTTGTTTTTGACTACGGAATTGATTGGGTTTAGGTCGGTTGAACCCTAGGGCTCGTTTTAAAAGGAAAAACTCGACCCCTAGTGTATTTACCAGCCGCTTTTGTCTTTTTCCTGAAGAGGGAAAAGTTCCTAGAAGTTCTTGAAAGTCTATGTGAGTCTTTTGGCTAGAGAGTTTGCGTGATTTTTCTTGAGGGATCTAGCCTATTTAAGAAAAGATTTGTTACTGTTAGTGTTAGGAGGATCTTATTCTTCCTCTATTCTTCTTTTTTTCTTCACTGTTCTTTCCAAACAAGAGGTGAGTGCATGACTATGGCTTCTCTTAGCGGTTTGATCATTTTTTGGGTGATTTCAAGATTCTTTGATTGATTCTTTTGCTTGTGTGATTGTTTATATGTCTTGATGTCTTTGTACAACCCTTTGGAGAGTCTTCATCGTCTCTAGAGTGCTTAACAGTGGAGATCCAACAAGGAAAAGCGACTGGAGCGATCCCAGAGCATCGGTGATTAATCAACATCAGTGGTGGGTGTCGATCGACACCAGTGAAATGTGTCGTGAGAATGGCCGCGAGTGACAATCGACACTAATGGTGGGTGTCGATAAACTACTCGTCATTTCGGAGGTTCGGGTGCAAGTGTCGACCGACACCAGGAAGGAATCGATCGACACCAGTCCTCAGCATCAGTTGAGTTTGCTATTGTTTGACATTGTGTTGTTTGATTTACCTGATTGTGATTGATACCGCTTGTTTGTATAGCCCAGTTGATGGGATGAGTGTCTCTCTAAGTATTTCTGACAATACTTATGCATCTTTTGTTTATGATGTAGGTAAAAGCAAAGTGTGACTGTCGAATTAGGGCGAAGAGAGAAGAATGATCTAGGCACTCACTGGATGTTGCGATTGTTCTAAGACATTGTTAGTTTGTTAGGCTTTGGAATTTAGAAGCATGTTAGGATGATTATGCTATCTTTGGATAATTGTTGGTTCTTTGACTTTGGTTTATTGAATTGGTATATCTGATTGTTCTTCCGCTTATTTTTAAGGTTTAGTTGACTCAATCTGGTTTAATTGATTTAATCTAGTTAGTTAGTTTTATTTGGTCCAACTTGTTCTGGTATGCTAGTTAGTGAGTATGAGATCATTAATTGGCGAATTATTTCTTTATTAGGTCTTTTCAGTATGATTTTTGTTTCTTGGTTTATGCGGTTTGGTTTTGGCAAACCGTAGAAGATGAAAAGAATGTAGGGCAATTGAACGTTTCACAAAATGACATCAATTTTTTTTTAAGTAAAAATTTCACAATTGTGTGTATGTAATGATGTGTGGCACTCATATGGAGAGGTTCATACCTGGTGTGAGGTTATAAAGTCATAAAGGTTTTATAATGGTTGACTTTGAAGATTTTTTTTTTTTTGTCGACAAAAAAACAATAAAACTATGACACTGTCGGAAATATACTCTCCTCTAGGGAGAGCCAAGAAGGTGTCGAAGTGCTCATATGGGAGAAAATGAAGAATTTATTTCTTTTCCTCAAGATTGTGATGTCCCAGTTATGAAAATGAGTGATTAAGGTACAAATTATTTTAGTTATTTTATCGCTAAACATATTTATGAGCTCATTATGATTCAGTTTTGAAATATTTTGTAGGTGCAAAGAATTCTAAATCAAGCGTAACGAATGGTAAATTGTTCATATTATATGTAGATAAAATTTTTTTAATAAGACTATATTTCTAGAATATTTTATATCTACATCGGAGTCAAAGTTTGGGTTATATCTGGATTGATACGTTAGTTCTAGGGGGAAATAAATCGTTTTCCCGTCTTTTTTATATAAGAGATTCAATAACCTATAACTATTTATTTCACTTTTGTTTCGGTTGACAATAAAATAATGTTCACATAAAGTATAACATCCAAATCCAAAATAAGTTAGATATCTATCCATACCAAGAAGATGTCGATCAACACCACTATTTTTTGAGGTTTTCGGTTTATGTTAAAATCGTATGGTTTAACTTGATTTCGATTAACATAACCTATTTTGGATTTAACTGTTTAACTTCTAACCATTGAAGTTAATATTTTATATACACTCCATTTACAAAGAGACAAAGACAGAACATAAATAAAGACACTCTTAACTTCACTTTACACTTTCAACTTCACTTCAATTAATTCCCAATTCGAAAAAATCTCAGATCCAATCACATCCCACCAGATGCTCACCGCCAACACTACCACCGCCGTCTTCCTCCTCCTCCTCCTCGTCACTCTCTGCTCCGGTCAAACTCCACCAGCACCAGAACCCACCGCCGCCGATGGACCTTCATCTCCGGCGAACTGTTTAGTATCTATGCTAAACGTATCTGACTGCTTCTCGTACGTTAAAATGGGAAGTAATGAGATCAAACCTGAACCTTCTTGTTGCCCTGAGCTTGCTGGTATGGTTCAAAGCTCGCCGGAGTGTGTTTGTAATCTTCTCGGCGGTGGTGCTTCGCCGCGTTTTGGTGTTAAGCTTGATAAGCAAAGAGCTGAACAACTCACAACAATCTGCGGTGTGAAAGCTCCTAGTTTGTGTTCTGGTACGTTAACTCATTCCGTATACCTACTTTTTCTATGTAATTACGACCGTTCGATTCGATCAAATCCAATCTAACGGTTTAGCGGGGACTTCTCACTAAATTCACTTTATTAGTAATTATGATCGATCAGTGACATTGCTTTAATTTAACTCTAACTATATATAAAAGGAAATATCTCTAAATAAAGTAACAAAAAATAATTTACTTTTCGTTTTTTTTTTCCGAACAAAATAAAATAATATAACTCTCTACAATAAAAGAATGAAACTGTAAAAGTAGATAGCTTGGATAATAAACCGAACCGAGATTTTTTTTTTGGTTTCGGTTATTAGTCAATCAAACGATCGACAATCTGGCCATGAATGTTTTGCAATTTCTAAATGATTTTTAGTTTTTGGTTTTTGATTTTTTTAGTTTCTGATTTTTGGTATAGATTTTAATTTTACAAAATGGGTAATTTGTTTAGTTTTTATATTTTAAATATACGTATTTATCAAAAAACGTTTTTAAGGTATTTAAAAAGTTAATTTTTTGTTTTTTTTTGGGATGAAAATGTTTTTAATAAAAATCTCACGTAAAGTTTTTTGGAATCCATAAAATTTGGTTTTTCGTTTCTATGACTAAATAAGCAAAATCTCTAAAATTCTGGTTTTCCTACTTTGTAGAAAATCTATTTTTATTAAAATCATGAATGGCTTACTAACTAGTTTCTGCAAAATCAAAAACTAAAAACTAGTTCAAAATCTGAAGTCATTCGAGGCCTCTGTGAAAGTTAGTTCGGTTAGTTGGTTTGGTTCTCGGTTAACAGATTTTTTTTTTGGTCATCTTTAACAGATTTTTTTTAATAATTGAATTATACCGGTTTTACAAAATAAACCAGTTTTTGTTAATAACCAAGTTAACCGAGGAATCGTATTAACCAAATTACCCTAATCTAACTAAAATTACTGAAATTATCACAGAATTAACCAAAGAAAATAATTTAATATGTATTTATAAAAGTCTTTGGAATTGATTGTTATTTAATAAATTTTGAAAATTGTATTATGTATTTATAAAATAACTGTCCTTTACTTGTGGTTAATAGTTTTTGGGTTTCCGACGATCTCTCCAGCCGGAAGTGAAGATTCATCAACTGCAGGGTCAGACTCAGAGAAAGATAAGAAAAATGGTGGTGCCACTTGTAAAGATCACGGAGTAGCTTTTAACTCCTTAGTCTTTATATTATTGTTCATGATGTTTTCTTTATTCTAAGCATTACATAACTTAAACTAGGTAACGTGATGCAGCATATAATTCTACTCTCTTCTAATGTGTGTATGTTCTTATGGAACTTGGATTCTATACAAATCAATAATGGAATTGACCATTTTGAAGTGGTATGATACAAGCTTATCAATGCGACTTGAACTCTGAAAATAAAACATTACCATCGGCCTTACTTCATAATCTTCAGTTCAGAGCCTATCTCACACAACATAGAGTATATAACACTGGTCATGCAAGTTGAGTTACTTGCTGCTATACATAGCTTTTTCTCATCGATCATCTTCCTCACTTTCTCCACTTCTTCCCACTTTCCATCAACAGCGTATATATATGATAGTAACACATATGGCGCTATGTCATTTGGCTGCAATCTCATGAGCCGTTTCGCCAAGATTTCACCAATGTTAGGATTCGAGAGTGTCCAACGAGAAGAGAGAACAAACGTGGAGTTTTCTTTAAGTTCTTCTGAGTTTTTAGTCAAACCTGCTTGGCCGAGGAGAGTAACCAAGCAGCCATGGTGCTCTAGTTTAGGCTCAACGTTATAGATTCGGGTTAGCCGATCATAGGCCCACCAACCTTCTAGAACCATCCCTGCATTCGCACAGGCAGACAAAACACAAACTAGAGTAGCACCGTTTGGGAACACGTTTCCATGCTTTTCCAAATCGATAAGCATCTCTATAGCTTTTTCTCCATTCCCTTGCGTGCCATATCCAATGATCATAGAGTTCCACGAAACAATGCTTCTCTCTTTCATCCCATCAAAGACCTCTCTAGCCATATCCATTTCACCACATTTAGCATACATTGTAAGTAGAGCAGTTGAGAGAAGCATATCAGGTCTAATCTTACTGCTTCTTACATATGAATGGATCTGCTTACCTAACTCAATCCGGCCTAAATATCCACAAGCCGTCAATACGCTCATAATAGACGCTTTGTTCGGCTTCAAACCATCTCCTTTATCAATCATTACTTCATAAAGTCTTATACATTCTGTATAATCCTTCATCCTAACATAGAGAGCCAATACAGTATTCCAAGAAACAACATTTCTTCGTGGCATTCTATCGAAAAACTCCCTCGCCATTTTAACATCTCCCACTGCCGCGTAACCGTCAATCATACAGTTCCAAGAAACAGCATCCGGAGCAGGCATATTCTCAAACAAACACCGCGCCTCTTCCATATCCTTAACCCTCACATAACCACAAAGCATAGTGTTCCAACTAAAAACATCTCTTTCAGGCATTTCATCGAACACCTCACGTGCAAAATCCATTCTCCCATTCTTCACATACCCATCAATCATCAAATTCCAACTAACCAAATCAACCATAAACCCACCATCAAACACCTTCTCCGCATCACAAACTCGTCCACAAACCAAGTACATATGAATCAACGAGTTCCTAACAAACAAATCCAAACCAAACCCGTACTTCAAAACCAAAGCATGAACCTTTTCCGCATCTTTCACCAACCCAGCTTCCTCACACACCTTTACCATTAACGGAAACGTATAATGATTACACAACACAGATCTACCAACAATTTTGTCGTAGTAAAACCTCAACGCACCAAAGGGTTGTTTTAAATCAACGAAACATCTCAAAATAGTGTTACCAAGAAACGCATCAGGTTCAATGACAGAATCAAAAACTAAAACAGCTGTTGAAACCGAACCGAAACAAGTACAGAGCTTTTTAATCACTCGTCCTGAAACAAGAGAGTTCTGAAGTAGTCCAGAGACTAGAATCTGAGGATAAACTTGATCAAATTCATTCACAGATCTTAAAGATTCAAGCTTTTGGAGTATTGGATGATGATTAATATCAACCACGTCGTCGAGATTTGTGGTACGAGGTTTGGGATCATCTGGCCAGAGTCTTGGTGATGGTTTTGAGAGATTGTCTCTGCATTTAATGAATTTTTCGAGAAGAATCGAGCTTCTTCTTGATTTTGAGAAGCCTATAATATTCATAATACTCATATCTGTGAGATATGCCTCTTGTTTTGTATTAATGGGTTTGGCGGTAAGGAATTGTCTCTTTGTTCGTAACTTTTCTTGTTGGTAACATGTTTAAAGACGGAAGGGGTCTAGAGTTATAAAGCCTCAGTCTCTCAATCTTTTTATCGGTAATGTACTGTCCTGGCGTTCGGTTCGGTTCGGTTTGGTTCAGTTTTAGTTCGGTAGTTTTGGTATGGAATCAGTCGGATTTTTGAGATTATTATCCCACTTGTTTTTGATTTTTGGAATTTCGGTTTGGTTCTTTTTGGTTTTAGTTTGATTTTGGTTCTTGAACAAGAAACCAATCTAAAACAAAAATTATTTTTGGGTAATTTTTGGTTTTGGTTATAACCAAAAAGTTTGGATATTGTGTGATATTTCAGGTATTTTTGGATATTTTTTGTGTTTATCGAGTAATTTTGGATACTTTCTTGTTCGGTTTCAATTCGAGTATAATTTAGGTATTTTGGATTTTTGGTTTTTTGGTCTAAATTTTAACTAGAGAATTTTTGAGAAATACCCCTTTTGGTGTACCCTTTTTAAAAATACCCCTTTTATCTATCTATTTTCAAAAATACCCCTTTTTAAATATAAAAAATTATAAAGTTTTATATATTTTATAAGGTACTTCTATATAAGAACTACTACTGGGAGATTCGATACAAATATTTTAAAATGTTTTAAATAGTTTTAAATCGTTTTATAAGTTTTATAAGGTTTTTAAAAGGTTTTTAAAAGGTTTTATACGGTTTTTATAAGGTTTTTATAAGATTTTTATAATTTATTTTTACGCTATTTATGAAAGGTATATAAAGTTTTATACACATATAAAGGTAATTTGTGTATATATTTATAAGCTTACACACATATTTGGATAAATTTCAACATTTTTAGTGGGTTTTTGATAAAGTTTGAAAATGGGGTATTTTTTGAAATTCCCCCTTTTAGCTAATATATTTTAGGTTTAATATTGTATTTCAAATATTTTAGATATCCGTTCTGTTTTTGATTCGGTTTTGGTTTGGTACTATGTGGCTTTAGATACTTTTAGATGATGAGTATAAGATTCATTTGGTTTTAAGTCAATTATGGTTTGGTGTCGGCTCCTCGAATTTCGGTTCGGTTCGGCATATTTCAGTTCTGTTTCACATAGTCTAATGTACATTAAATGCGGATAGTTGCGGTTAATACCATTTAATAATAATTACAAAAGGAAAAAAGTGTAACCGCAACTATCTGCGTCTTTGACTCCTACACAAGCCTCTCCTTTGCACTTTGGATCAAGTCAGTTATGTTGACTTAAGTTTGATCCAAAGTGCAACGGAGAGGCTTATGTAAGAGTCAAAGGTGTAGAAAGGGGTGTATTCTGGTATTGCAAGCAAGGAGAGGCTGAGATCTGTGGCTGTTGGTGTGTAGAAGCTACTGTATTCTTGTGTTTTTGTTGTTTCTTTTATTCTTATCAATCCAAATAAGAGGTGAGTGCATGATCATGGTTATTTAAGCGATTAGATGTGTGTTTTAGTGAGTTTATGTGATTGTGATTGATTGCTTTGCTTTATGTGTGTTGTGAGTGGTTGATGGCCTTTCTTGGTTGTGCTTGAGGTTGTGCGGAAATCGCCTAGAGTTGGTGGATCCGTCGAAGAGAGATCGAAAGATGTACTCTGAGGGTGTCGGTGTTGATCAACACCAAGTAGATTTTGTTCGACACCAGGAGTTTGATCGCGTACGTATGCGATGGGTGTCGTTTGAGACCAGGTGAAGGTGATGTTAGCCACCAAAACACGTTGGTGATGTCGAATGGTTGTGTCGACCGATACCAGCATGATGTAGGCTCAAATTGTATTCCTTTGTTGCCTAGCTTGCTTCTTGTGCTTGTGATTGTTGTTTGAACTTGTCTTATCGGTTGTTTGTATAGTCCAATAGATGGTTGAATTGTCTTACTAAGTATTTGTGATAATACTCACGCATCTCTTTTCGTTGTAGTGCACGTAAATATAAAGTATGATCGTGGAATCTTGGCAACGACGATGACAATGATCTAGAGTCGTTGAGTGTTGTTTAATGCTTTATTTATTGTTTAGGAACCTTGGATTAGAAGCATGTTAGGCTTGCTGCGTATTGTTGGTACAGTCGATATATTGCATCTTGAGAAAACATCTAAAAGTTGATTTTCCTTCATCATCCTGAAGTGATGCTGAGAGCAACAATATCTATGAGGATCCCATTGAGTAGTTGCGAGCCGTTATGGTTGCGGAAGGCAAGTTGCTAGCGGTTCTTGGGTGATTTAGGGGTGTGGATTTTTCATATGTCTAGGGAGTCTATGCCATAAACTTGTTATTAACCCTATGGAGATGTACGATTTCATTCTGGGCATGGATTGGCTGGATCGATATAGAGCTATCTGGATTTTAACTGATGGAGAATTTCTTTTGAGCGACCAGAAGGGAGGTTGGTTTATCTGGGAGTGCGACGGACTTCAGGGAGTCTCGTTATCTCGGCCATGCATGCAGAGAAGATGATTAAGAAAGGTTATGAGGCCTATCGAGAGATAATTGTTATGCTAACGTCTGTTGGAGAGGTTTCGGTTGTGAAAATTCAGGTTATTGGGGAGTTAGAGGATGTTTTAAAATCGTTGTAGGGGATACCACCATCTCAGTTTGATCTTTTGACGATTGATTAGGAATTAGGGACAACACTAATGTCTAAAGGCATTTCCAACACTGATGTCTAAGGCATTTCCAACACTGATGGTTAAGGGTATTTTAGATATAATCACATTTGTTTCAACTCTACTATATATCTTGTTCTAATATAATGTAAACGAATTAGTTTTTCGAAAACGATTTTTGTATTTTGGTTTTGAATAAACAGCAAAGTTTATGTGTCAATTACTAAAAAAGAAATTCATTTTCTCACCTTAATTTCATTTTTAATGTTTGGAAAACAAATGCTTCCACATGGTAGGGTTAATAAAAAGAATCGAATCTTTAATACCGGCGGCCCGACAATTCACAAACCATGATATGGCAATTTGATTCGGAGGATCGATCAACAAGTTCGAAACCAATGCAAAATGATACGAAGGATGAAAGATCACATATATGATGCAGGATTCCAAAGAAGGCTGCAAACAAGAACAAGTCCATGAAGTCTTTTGGTCTTTTCCTGAAATTTTAAGTTAAAGCTCAACAATTTCGAATATTCGTAGCACTTGTTATAACACACCGTAACTCTTTTCTTTTGAATATAATTTACATTACGCTTAAAAAAAATAGCAAAGATTTCTTTTCAATTAGACGTTCCTCACCTCTCTCTCCTTTGTTCTCTCTCGAAGAGATTGCCCTAGCCGCCGCTCAACTCTAGAGACCTCTGTTCGCCCTCTCTAGTTAGCGGTGCTCTTCGCCGTGACTGTGAGAGGGAGGACCTTTGCTGATCTTCTTTCTCTTGTTGGAATTTGGTATTTGCTTCAACTATTTTCGGTTGTTTGATGAAAAGCAAAGTTTGCTTAGCGAAGTAGACTGGTCTTCACGGTGAGGTGAGGTTGACTCGGCGTTCTTTGCTTTGTTCTTCCTCCCTTGACGGTGCCAGACATGGTTCTTCTACCCTTGATTAGATCCAGCTCTGGTTGGGTCGCCGAGGTGGTTTTTCCTGAATTTTGTTGCCTTGGGTTCTTGTTGTCTCCTCCTCTGGTAAGCTCGTTCTTCTAGTCGTTCTTCTTCGCCGGTAGCTGGGATTTGGTGAGTAGTGTCGTCTGAATTTTAGTGACCTTCGATTGGGGATTTCTTGGTTTGTTTCCAGTGATAATGTTGTGTGTTGGAGGTAGCAGTTGGAATCGCCTGTCTAGCTGGGGTTTGTGTTGATCCGTTTCCGGATTCTATCGTCGTTCTTGTTCCTTTATGCGTTTGTATGCTGCATGTATAGTTTGGTTGTGGGTTCTGTTAGTAGCTCCAACCTTTGCTTTCCCTCTCGTACTATCTCATCGTTCCAGTTATTGGTTTGCTTTGGGTTTGATCCTCTTCCAAGCAGAAGCTTATTTTGTTTGAATGTGATGGTATTCTCCAAGATTTGTCGTGTTGTCGTTTTCTTGCTGTGGTTCGTTGTGGGTGATAACTCTCTTGATAGTTTTCTCGCTCTCTTTGAGTTTGGAAATTCTGAGTTGTTAGGCCTCGCTCCTTGTCCCTGCTTTCCAAATCAGTTGAGATCTGTTTACGTTTGAAAGGCTTCTTGTTAGACGTTCATTGGCGTATCAACGTCGTTGTCGCTTCCGAACGTTCGTGCTTGTCAAGATATGAAGTGGTAGATGTTACTTTCGGTTTGGCCGTGGGGGTCCTTAGTAAATCTTTCACTTGTATCTCAGAAGAAAAGGCGCTTGTTAATCTTGGATATATTGTTTCCGTTTAGGTTTTATTGCATGTTGCTTATGGTCTTGGTTTAAGGTTTAGTCTTCTTTCGTCTTTGATTGCAAATTTTCTGTGTTGTATCTCGTTTTTCTTTAGATTCTTTTTTTTTAATGGACCTCATCTTATTAATACCCACTTAATTAGGCCGAGCCGTCACAAACAAAAAAGCCCAGAAGCAAAGGAAATCGGAAAATACAATTGGCGCCGGAAAAGAAGATCTGAGCCTATTGACACCGCTGATGCAGAGTCTCACCATTAGAACCGGCAGATGCGAGATCCACCACTTTGCAACCAAACCGGGGTATCTAGTCAACGGTGGGAAGCATCTGACTCCCAGCCTCCGTTCCTTTTCCCCCGATCCGCCAACCCGTTATAGATCTCCCAGTAAGGTGAGCTCCGACACCACAACACGTGGCAGATGGCTCCCGTTCCTAGCAAGCCAACCGCTTCAGCTCGAACCCTTCCTTCCTAGCTTAGAAAAAATCTGAAAACCGATCTAATCCCCTTCTGACCAGTCCGGAGGAAGCAAGTCGAGGTGGTGGTTAAGGCCGATGGCTCAATCGGAAGCTTAATGACGGGAGTGAAGAACTAAGGTCGCCGGAGCAGATCTAGAAATCTTCTTTTGTGAACATCCGGAGGAGAGAGAAAAGAGAAGAAGGAAAAGGGAAACGATTGTCCTCTGCATGCGACTTGTTCATGAGATATGTTCTTTCTCTTCTTTCTTTAGATTCTCTTACATAGGACTAGTGACTCTAGGGACATTACCGCGGTCCGCCAACTTAAATTTCTTTTTTAGGCGTTGTACGTATTTCATCTTTGGTTACACAACAAATTTTAATATAGTTTCAGTTGAAAAAAAAAATATATATATTTTCAATTACCAAAAAAAAAAAAAATTTCACAGTTTAATTTCAGTTTTAGTGTTTGGAAAACAAATGCTTCCACATGGTAGGGTTAAGTCGAATCTTTAATACTTACTTCGAGAACGGTTCGTTCTCCCAAACGATATCAGTCACGTGCTTCTGAAATCAAAGTTGGTAGACCAATGAATCATTCACATTTACACTAATAATAATTTAAAGTTCCTGCCTACAACGTGACACATATATTTTTTTATCTGTCGGCAACAACGTGGGAAATAAAAATATATAATTCACTTTATGGCCTATCCCACTATAGACTATAAAATTAAAATCTTGTAAGGTCGAATAATTAACATATATATATATATATACCAAAGACTTCTTTTGTCTCTCTAACCAAAACCACAAATAACATTTATCAAGAAGCTTTTGAAAGATTCATGGCGATGTCTCATCTTCAACCTTTCCTTCTCCTCCTCCTCACGTCGCTCTTCGCCTTACCGGCTTTGCACGGCGCTATCGATTTCGAATACTGCAGCAGTAAGTATCAGTTTGTTATGTTTGTTGTATACAAAATCTCTTCAGTGAATTTATAAAGGCACATGAAACAAAAAAACTCAATTCAATAATTTGATATAGGCTTGGATTTATAGATTGTGGCTTGTTGATGTCTCTTCCTATTTTTTTCTTTGGGTTCTAACTTCTAAGGAAATATTCAGTAAATTACTCTCTCTATTACTTTTTTTTTTTCTCAAACTCTCTGTGTTTTAAGATGAATTTTCAAGTTTTTTTCCTATATTAAAAAGTTTGATTTTATCTATATATCATTTTATCTATTTATGAATTAATGGTTTGTCCAAAAAAAAGATTGATTTTAATTTTCAATTAATACATTTAATTTTAAAAACATATCTAGTTAGTGTACTATTGTAAAATGTTTTTATAATATTGACTTAGAATTAATAAAAGTTTTTGGAATATAGACAATTTATAGATTTATTATTGTTTTTTAAAAGTTATTGCTAAATCCAAAAAAATATGTACAAAATGGAGAGAGTATTTAACAAATCAATTAACAAAACACTAATTGGATTTACTTTTGTAAGAAATATTGTTTTTTTTTTTTTTTGTAAGATTGTTAAATAACTAGATTTACTTTTGTAAGAAAAAATGTACAGATCCAAGATTTTTTAAATCTAACATAGACTCATAAGTTATACAATTTCTAACAGTTAATCTATGCGACTGTTACAGAAAATGGAAACGATTACGGTAACGTTAATCGCGTCGAGATCTCTAAGAACCCATCGGTTGGTCCTGACGAAAGCTCAAGCATGACTATCTTTGTATACGCTTCTGCAAGTACGTTATTTTATTATTTTTCTTTTCCCAAATTTCAACTTGTTTTATTTTCAATATTTTGTTTGATCAAATATGTAAAATATTACAGGCAAAAACATCAACGTGGAAACTCTTGTATACGTAACCATTAAGACTGGGGAGTTTACTGGACTTTTAAAAACTTACAACATTTGTGATGTGAGTGAATGTAACAATGAAGCTGGGATCGAAGCTGGTGCTAACTTTGAGTTGACTCTTCCTGATGTTCTCTTTGTTGGTTTTGATGAGGTAAGTATTCTTATAACACCTCATTAGGAAATTTTATGAGTGGAATGTGAATTTCTTCCTTAAGTACTCTAGGACTAAAGGCAACATTATTGGGGGTATCTTACAGGGCTAAGATATCCCGGTTTTTGCAAAGAAATATCTTAGATAAGATCTTTTTTTGCAAAAACCAGGATATAAGAGACCCTCTAAGATAGCTCTAATAATGTTGGTCTAATGATTAACTATGAACTTGATGTACAGCCGGGTCAGACTGGTTTAATAACCGCGATAAACCGGCAAAACCCTTAAAACTAACGAACCAATTAAACCGGGTTTTTCTTTTCAAGATTGGCTTTATTCTTTAAACATCATTTTCTAAGAAGTGATATTTTAAGTGTATCTAATGGTTTTGAGGTTTTAACATTTCTAAAAAGTAATTTAATTTCAAGACTTGGTTTTGTAAAAAAAATGACTTCTGCTAACAACTAGATCCCAAAACTAATTTCCCAGTCTTTATGCATCTTCTCTACACAACAAAAACTAAATATTTTCATCATTGTATTACAAATTTTCAAAAACCTTAATAATTAGACAAAAACCGAGATTTAATTTTGGTTTTTCGACTAAATCTTGATTAAACCGGACATAAATGAATTTTATTTTTCTGTGTACCGAACCACACCAAAACCTACCTATACAAAGGTTTCGTTTTCACTTGAATAACTATTTTCTTAAACCCAAAAAAAAAACAAAACAAATATTCTGTAATTTTTGACATTTCTATATGTATTTTTGGTATGAACTTGTGAAGGAACTCAAGTACTCGGTATCATTGCGCCAAAAATACGTGGAAGAGCCAATAATAAACATGTGCGTCGACTTCAAAGTACCTACTTCAACTGCCACATTGGTCTCTGCCTAGTCATGTTGGCCGATGTTCCCAAGTCTTTTCATTATAACCACAGTCTCTAGCTCTCTCTACTTGATGCATCTCGTATGTGTTGTTGTCCAACAAATAAAATAGATAATTCTCTAATGTAATATTGGCTTGGTTTACTATGAACCAACAACAAGTCTTTGGTTTTTTTTTCCAAGCTGATACAATAATTATGAGAAACAAGAGTGTTTTAAACCAGTCCAGTGACTACAATCTTGGCATACAATTTGGTCAAACATAGTGACTTAAGTTTTCGGAGAATTTGATGATGAATTTTGATAAAAGCATGAAGTGGAGTAAAGAATTGATGTAAAATTTGAGAAATAAGTGGTGTAAAGCAAAAAATTTTGTTAAACGTGGTGTAAAGCAATTGATGTGAAATAAGTTTGATGTGAAGTAAGGAATAAAATATGATGTATGAAATGCTTAGCTATAAGAATCAGAACTTTTCTAATTAACCTGAAGTTTATGGAACTCTAGCTGTTATAAAGCTCAGCTCTCTCTCTCTTTTACTAGTTTTTCTTGTTACTACATTCTTCGAGCTTGTAACGATGAGGATGTCTCCCTAGCTAAGCTTGCTCTCTCTTTATATGTCGAAAATCTTGGTTAATTAGTTAATCTACGAGCTTGTGTTTTAAAGAAAAAAGTAGGAAGTATGATATGTGAGGTAAAGAATAAACATGTATGTTAAATATGTGAAAAATTTGGAATATGCAATGTAATATTCACTAAGACATGTATTATAAATATCAAGTTTGATGAAGAGAATTCATCGTAACTTTGAGTGTCTAAAATTCTAATAGTCTTTTGTAATCTTCTTAAGATTTTTCTCTTTGTATAAAACATTTTTCTTTTGAACACTAACATTTTTCATATATACTTATGTTCTCCTATGTGGTTGGACACATAGGAGATGTGTTGTACATGTACGAGTCTTAGATTAATGGTTGAACTAAGGGTGAATGTTTGAACCAAAATTAAATCAAACTAAATCAACCAACCAAATCACAACAAAATTATTATACAATTATAAGTACATGCTAAATTTTATTCTAACGGGCGAGCATTGAACAAATACCCATATTATTTGCTTAGATACTTTAAAAACAAAATCATAAAATCATTGAAAATTATTTTTAAATTAGCCAAAGCTTCCAAAAAACCTATATTTCTATTATTTATTTTTTTAAATAAACTTCTATATTGTCATAATTTTCTAAAATTATTCGATTAATCGAAATGTACTTCAATCTTCAATATATCTTCATCAAAATATTTAAAACTAGTGAGGATTTGGATAGTAATTAATGATTCTACCCAAATTCTCAACCACTCATATTACCTAAAGTTTTAAATTAGTAGTTTATAAGAGAGATCATACTTTTAGAAAACAAAGATAAACTTTAAAATTTCTTGTTGACAAATTAAAATAATTTACTTTTGAGTAACATATCCTAACACGACTGGGCCACAACCCCAGGCCCAATTTTATAAAATCCTAAATCTCTTACGTTTGTCTCTTTTTCTTTTTTAACAAACCGTTCATATTCCATTTTTTTACTCTAAAAGGATTAAAAATCTACAACCCTAAACGACGAACAAAGTGGATTCTCTGTAGTGACGACTGCTTCAGTGATTTCATTTCATCTTCTCTTTTCGTGTAAGTGTGATTCATACTTGTAACAACCCATCCCGGTGGGAACCCCTACCACATGGCACACCCCGCTATATGGCAGGTACAAGCGCTGCAACGCATCGACCCTAACCTCTCTCTTGTGGACCCCCAAACTGCGCAGCCCACTTGTTCGCAGCCTCCTGGCCCACCAGGTAGGTTATTGGTGCGCCTGGCGTTCCTCGAACCCAGATCCTCACCCTTTAACAACATTCCCATTTGACAAGCTGTTACCAAATGATCTGAGCAAGTGGGCTGCGCAGTTTGGGGGTCCACAGGAGAGAGGTTAGGGTCGATGCGCTGCAGCGCTTGTAGCTGCCATATGGCGGGGTGTGCCTTGTGGTAGGGGTTCCCACCGGGATGGGTTGTTACAATACTTTACTGCCATATGGTTAACTTTGGTGATATGCTACAACACCACCTTTGTTGATTTTTTGTGATATGTAGAAGAAGTTACAAGCTTGTAACGTTACATTTTTTTTTTAGTTACTGATGACTTTAGAGCTAAGAACTAAACTTGTTTAATGTTTGTATGAATACGTTTACGTTGTTTATATGTAGAAACAATAGGAGAATGCCACCATTGAGTATGAGAAAACAACCATCTGGTTCTTTAAAAAGAAAAAAAGAGAAAGAAGCAACAAGAGTTTTTGAAGTCACAAGCCAATGCTATTCTAAAGTTCATCAAGAAGAAACCCGAAAAATCCGAATTAGTTTTCGATTCTCGAAAAAACGACAGTGAAGATGTTATTGGACAGAACAATGTGGTTCCTGAAAATTTGGATGAATGTAAAGACAATGATGAGCAAAAACAGGTTGTGGATCAAAGCGTGGGAAGTGGGGAGAAGAAGAAACATATATGTGAAGATATTGGTAAGAGCAATGTTGTTCGTGAAACTTTGGATGAACGTAAAGAGAATGATGTGCAAAAAAAGGTTGTGAATCGAAGCGAGGGAAGTGAAGAGAAGAAGAAACATATATGTGAAGATCTTTCTGATCCTGGAAATTGGGGAAACATTGATATGAAAATGAGAGATTTATTGGTTAAAAACGGTCCAGCGACAAGGCTATCGACTGATTATCAGTTTCCTAAGGATGGTATTGGTAGACGTTTCTCGCAAGCTTTCTACACAAGAGAAATGGTCAATGGAGAAAAAGTAGACCGTCGATGGTTGGTTTACTCCGAAGCTTTAGATAGAGTTTTCTATTTTTGCTGTAAGTTGTTCAGACACGAGAAAAACTGCGGTTGTAACTTGGCAACAACGGGGTACAATGACTGGAGTAATCTTTCGACTAGGCTCAAAGAACATGAAAAGTTATATGGTCATATTGTTTGCATGACTCAGTGGAAAGAATTGGGAATAAGACTAGAAAAGAATCAGACAATTAATAAGCTGATTAAGTTGTAGCTGTCTTAGGTGAGATTGGTAAGCTTAGTTTTTAGCAGTTGAGTTTAGTTTATTTGTTTTCAGAACAACATTATGTAGGAGATGTTTCTTTATTAGTATTGTTTGTGATATTTGCAAATTTTAATACATTTTATCTTTCTTTGAGAATTATGCAAATAGGTTAAGAAGAAGTAAACATTTGGCCGGCAAAGAACCCAAGAGATAGCAACAGAACCGCAGCCGCGGGGATAACCAAACCAGCCGTAAGTGCTGTTCTGTTATTCTTCATCAGTGCCATATATCCTCCAAGATTCTCCTTGTATGCATTCACTTTACTTCTATAATCTTGGTTAAGTATTCCTTCATTACTCTTTTTCTTGGCTGCAACTTTAAAAGCTTCTTCATTCTCTCTTCCTCGCTTTGGCGATTGAACCTTTTCCGCATGTTTTTTTAGTTCTGCTTCGCTCTCTTTTGTTTCCTTTGACGGTTGAACCCTTTCCTTTGCTGCCGGGCTAAGAGGCTTTGCTGCCGGAACAAGAGGAGGTTTCGCGGTTGTACCACTAGGTAAATTTTCTTTGCCTATTGGCTCAGGTCTAGGAAGCCTCACAACGAGATTCGCGCCTTCAAATTTGGCAGAGACAGAGTCGACATCGACGTTTGGCGGAATAGGAAACTCCTTGCGAAAACGGATCCATTTGTTGGCTCCTGCTGGACGATCTCCCATCACTCTCAGCTTCCTCGTTGTGGTTATTTGCACCTTAAGCTGTTCTTTCTTAAACCCTATTAATTTCAAGAACCATTACATCAAAATTCAAGAACCGGTTATAAAAACACGAAAACAACGTTAGAGTCTCTTGAGAGCAACCAAACCTGGAAGGTAAACAGTGAGAGCTTCGAATCCTTGTTCAGTTTTCCAATTCGAAAGCGGTTCGAAGTCTTCGTAGACGCGATTAGCAAAAGCATGTTCAGAGATTCTCGCCATATCTTTGATTTCTTGGTTTGAATTTTGAGTAAGAAGATTTTGTGTTATGTTTGATGTATAAGAAGGTATCTAAGCGAGTTCTTTATATACCAATGAAGAAATTATATTTTTTCTAAGTTGTTTCCTTTGAGTTTGGGTTATTCCTTAACTTTGCCTAACTGTTGTGATCCCCTTCTGTATAGTTCTCCTCTTTTATATGCATTTGTTTACAGCTTTTGGTTTCAATGTCAAGAAAGTGAAGAATATAAATTTTTGTAAAGAGGAGTAATGCTTTGCTTTGAGGGGATTTAAGGACCAACGAGGATTTGATGCTTCTCTCCTTAAATTTTATTAGAGACAACATGTGAAAACGTCTGCAAAAGCAAACCCAAATATTATCTTTACTAGTAAAGATATTGTTAATATGTTTATGTCCTATTTATATATATAACTTTTGTCAACTTTTATGTCCTATATATATATATATATATATATATGCAAATGTTTTGGGTTAAAATTAATATGATAAAAAATGATGGCATCATATTTCAAAACTTACATACTTTTCTAAATTTTATGAAAATAATTTATATACATATTGGAATTCTAAAGTTTTTCTTATCTCAAGTTTGTAGGGTTAATTAGGATCTACTATAAATTTAAGCATGTAATCTATCTTATTATTTTTGCAACCATTTTTTTGACCACCCTTTACTAAAATATTTTGGACACAAAATATCCTTACTTCTAAACAATTAACCAAAGATCATTAAGGCTAATTTTGTAATCTTGAATGTCGGATCGGTTTTAAATCAAAATTTAAAACCCGATTTCGTTAATCGGATCTTTGAAAAACCAAAAACTATATTTCCTATTTTAATCACCGAAAACCTATTAAATTCCGAATTGATATGGTAATTAAACAGATATAGAAACTTTATGAATAAATTAAACATAATATTGCATAAAAATCGGATCATAATATAACCATATATTCTTGATTTTATTTATTTGGAAACATACGTATTGATTATTCTACTTTTAAAAAGATTAATATCAAATCTGGATTTCCTATATTTATTAGTTAGAAATCGATAAACTCTAGGAAATATAAACTAATTTACTGATTCAAATAAAACTCAAAACTTACACACATATACCAAATCTAACCATTCAAATACCAAACCACAAAAAACACAGAAATGTGTTATACTATACTCACTACTCACTTAGAATGATCGATAACTTGAAGAAATTATTATGAAATATTTAAATTAATTTCTTCACGTATGATGTTTCTTTCTCCTGCTTTTTTTTAATTTATTTTTTATTTTTTGTGCACCCCATTTTCTTTTTCAAAAATTAATGAACTAATAACTATAAAAAACAGAAAGATTATATTTCCATATCTTGAATTACAAACAATTCCTTATATTATGGTTTTTAAAAGATTTTCAATCAATATCAAATCATATTAAGTAATAAAAATTAAGGATATTACTTTTCGGGGTCTAGAAAAACCCTACGGTTGGATCCGAAATCTCTATAAATACATAAAACCGACACATACACTAGAGTAGTTCTATAATCCTCACAAGTGTACTAAAGCTATCAAAAGCAATATCGATATTTTTTTTCTTCAAGAGCATTATCAATTCTTGTCTAATATCATGTCGTTTGAATTTGAGTATGTCATGTAATTTATTCTGATTCTAATGGCTTTATTTTGGGTTACTTTACATTTATATTTGATAGTCTCACAAAAAATTACAAAATCTACACTATTTTTTCATGGCATATTCCCCAGCTAAATACTATATCCTCTATTTTATTCCATAATCCTAGCTTGCTCACCAAGATTTTAGATGATCACTCACGCATACCCCTCAAATTTCATTATACACTATAAATATGTTTAATTTTCAGTAGCTAAAAACACCATATCCGAAAAGCAACTCTATTATATCACAATAAAATGTATACTATCTTCGTTGCTTTCTTCTTCACATGGGAACTCAAGCTCTGATTGTCTTCATCAGCCTCCTTTTTCGTCAAAGCTTTCTCATCCTCTGATGGCATTTTCTTCTTCAACCAAAATTATGTACCAACCAAACATTACTAACAAACAAACAAACAAATATAACTTAAATTTTTTTAAAATTAGTTATAAAATTTTTATAAGATTAATTTTCACGTATCATTTCGTTCCACGTGTCATGTATCACATAACATTGACTATTAATTTTAGTTTCATTATATTAATTTAGTATTAAATGCAATAAAAATACTTTTTTTATTGCAAATACACAAAAATATATATAACACTCCCTTAATTGTATTAAAAGTTAAAAAAAGTCAATCAATTTATAATACAAAATCATAAAAACATATATATAAAAACATAAAATAATAAATTGTCTCGTGGTCATGTACCACGGGTAACTTATCATATACAAGGACAAAACCGGAAATATATATACCGCAAATGATACATTATTCCCGTTGGACCTCGACTAATATGCTAAACCAATTTTAATTAGAGCATATTAAATTATAAACGATTGGAATTCTATATAAGAGAAATACGTTAAATGATGGACCCGTGGTGTACCACGGGGTAAAATCTAGTATACTATTACATTTATAAGAGTTCCATTCAATTCATATAGTGGTAAGATATGACATAAGTATTACCATTTTCTTACCTTATAGTTGTCTTATTTTATCATACTTTATTTTTTTGCATTGTATTTAGAATTTAATTAACCAATACAAAAAATTCATAGTGTTTTGGTTTTATAAAAAACTGTTATTATTTACAGTTAGTTGAATTTAATTATTTATTTGATATCAGAATTTAATATTGGAATGGAGATTCCAAATTAATTTCATTCAAAAGTTATGTTCAATTGAATTGGATTATTTATTTATTTGTTGTAAGAATTTAATAAGATTTATGGTTATGTTCAAAAATTATGTTCATTTTTAAATGAGTGGTGGATCATTTGAAATTATCATTATGTCTATGAAAAGATATTAACCTAGTTTACTAAGATATTTAACATAATTATTTTCATGGTGGAGAATTAAGATATTCGAAATAGTTACTTTTGTGGTGGAGAACACCAGTTATAATAAAAATATTTGGTAATTTATTTGTAAGTGTGTTTCTTCATGTTTCTAAAGGATATTTCATTTATTTGTTATACATAAAAATAAATTTATACAACACATCATTTGTTATATAAAAGAAGAATCTCACTCACTTTTTTTTATTGATTTATTTGCTATCTTTTTTTTGTAACAAAAATTAAATTGTATTAAAGGTTAACAAAAGAAGCACAAATTTATTGTAATGTATTATTATGTATGTTAAACTTATGCAGCTTTGGGGCAATAATGAAAGCAGCGGCACTTCCCAGGAGGAATGCAGATACTTGCACTGATCTTATGCATCTTTGTACACGCAGCTTTACATTCTTCATGAACACATTTTCCAGATTTAAATGGAATATTAGTAGAGCATTGTCGTCTTTCTTGTTGCCCCAATACTCCTGAATGTAGACCATAAAATATTAGCTATTATATATAAGATAAGAATCTTTTTTAAGGAATTCTATGTAACAAATTTAAAATATCAAATAAAGTTTTCTTGATAAACTATCAGTCCATCACATAAGAACTTTAAAAAGTATGAGTTATATATATATATAGGAAACTAGAAATGATCATATAGTTTTTTAAGGGAAAAACATGTAATTTGAAACTTTTGTCATGCAAAACAAGGAAAAATACTGAAAATAGTAATGAAAAAAGCACAAGAATGGAAATTTGTTTAATCTATATAGTTAATATATTAAGGCAGATTTGTTTTTTTAAAACAAACCTAGCTCAAGAATGAGGAAGAAAGTTAGAATGGTGAGTGCAAGTTGAAATGGTCTCTTCATCGTGGTGTTATGAATGAATAATTGATGGTGTATTAAAAGTGAAAACAAATTACAAAGTATACTCCTATATATACTTTTCTAGAAATTTAATGTACCTCACATTTAAACTTACCTAATTTAAGCAATCTATCTCCTCAAGTTCCGGTTTTACACAAAGTTTATAGTTTTCTCATTCTATACTTGAATGCTTTGGACTCGTTCATTATTAATTATTATAGTTTCTCATTTAAATGAAACCAATTAAAGTTCACAAAAAAGTAAATATATATAGTCACATATTCAAGAAATATCAATTCTATGTATGTTCGATGAATAAAAGATGACAATATTTTTCGAAAGAAACGAAACTAGCACGTAAATGTCTGTTAATAACCAGACTAGCCCATCAAAATTTGTTAGAATTAAATAGCCTATAAAGATAAGGAAATTACAAGCCCATCCACTTATTTTTTTAATTTATGTGACTACCATTTTGTTATTCTTTCACTTATTAAAATAAAAATAATAGAGTAATCGAATAAAAGAAAAACCTTCGAAAAATATATCTTTTGAAAATCAAACCCTAATCTCAGAGAAAAGCGAAGAGTCGTTTCTCTCTTTGTGGAGGAAAAAATCCGGTGACTCGTGAAGCGATTCCGGCGATTGTTGAAGCGATTCCAAGAGTCGAGGGCGGCGTTGTCTCTAGTTTCTGGTAAGATGTGGATTGAATAGGTTAGTGGAGGAGTCGTTTGGTGTGAGAGTAGAGAAACTAAATTGATGAGTCTTAATCTGTGACAGATCGAGTCGACGGAGACGGGGAGGCGAGGCGACGATCAATCCTGGGTGGAAAAGCGAGATTTGGTGTATATTGGCGGAGGTTAGAAAAGGAGTAGGCGAGAGTTAAGGAAAATCAATCGTCCTTATTTGTTAGTTTGTCGAGGAAAGTGTTGTGGATGATTGGTGGGGGTAAGATTTGAGTCAAGTGTCTTGGTAATTAGAGTTTTGAAAGATAAATGGATTATAAAAATCGTATCTTTTTGATAGGTATTTAAACGACGGGGACATTATCGGAGGTGTTGGGTATAGTAACTGGCATGCTTGAAGAAAAATAAGGTTAGTGTATAAGATTCATTTTGTATAGTTTATTAACGATGGTTGGTAGATCTGGTTGATTGCTTAGAATTAGAAAAAGTAATTTTCTAATCTGGTAACTATCGATTGTTAATGTTCAATAGGAGTGTAAAAAATCTGGAAAATGATAGAAACTTGTATTTGAATTTGGCGGGTTGGTTGAGGGAAAAAGAAATTTGTTTGTTATGGCTTTGAAAATGACATTTCATATTGTTTGGTGGCAGAGTTTTTAATTAGAGTTAGTGTCATTAAAGTATTATATTGTGAAAGAGTTAAGATATAAGTAGTTATATGGACTATTTTATTCTCATTAGAAAAGACAAAATAAACTGGTGGTGAGGTTTCTTGTACACTGATATAAATAAAGCATGTATGGTATGTAGTAACATGGAATGAGATTTTATATTAGAATTGACTAGGATGTAACATTGTGATTGTTGTCATTTGCACACGGTTTGTGTTTTTACTCATGTTGGTTTTGTATTGAATTGACAATGACATTAACAATTGGTTTCATAGACTTTGAAAATAGAGATACAAATGCTATGGCAGGAAATACTGTTAGAGTAAATCCATATGGATTTTGAGTGTGAAATAATTCATAAACGGCTGGTTATAATGATAGAAGCTAAAGATAGAATGTATGTAGAAATGATAGAAGGCTGGTTTATAACGGCTGGTTATTGTTGTAATTTGCAGGAAATGAGATCAACAAGTGGTGAAAAGATGGGAAGGTACCCTCCTTTATTGTATCCGTCTGGAAAATGTCCTCTTCTAAAGAGGAGCATCCACCATACCTGCACTTTGGCAAGTTTAGGATTGATGAAAGACTGCATTGGTGAAGTGGTTTACAAAGACATCTGAGATCATACACAAGCAGGTGTCATATGAATTTCATGAATTTCAGGAAGGATTCCATGAATTTCAGGAAGGATTCCATGAATTTCAGGAAGGATTCCACGAACTTCAGGATGGTCTTCACAAAACGTCTGAACATGACGATCATTTTGCACATACACTAGCAAAGAATCTCCTACCATCCTCTTCGTCATTAGAGGAAGTCCACAACTAAGTTTGATATCACTAACTAAACAATTCAGTTTCAAAACTTCAATCACCATATCAACTAAGTCTAAAACCTATATACATAATATTATCATCTACTTTACAAAAGAGATCTTCCATTGTTCCAATTGACTGCAAAATCTCCCCACAAACTGAGTATAGTTCAACTATACTCATGTGATCTAAACAAAAAAAGCTTGAGATACACCAATTCAATCTTACCAAATCTCTAGGTTTGTTAAACACTAATCAAATGTGAAATGAACTTACAAATTTGGATCTCCAAAATTTATTTCATAAAGCTAGTTCATTCACCATCAAATCAACATCTACTTTCGATTGAACATAATCGTTTCACTACTCCAAACATTAATCAAACCAAAACGATTTAGCAAAATCAGTTAACTACTTTGACCACTAGTCAAAGCAAAAACGATTACGGAGAATCAATTCACTACTTCGAACACTTGTCAAAAGAAAATCAGTTCACTACTTAGAACACTAATCAAAGTAGGAACGATTAAGGAGAATCGATACACCACTCTGAACACTAATCAAAGGAGAATCGGTTCATTACTCAAGAGGAAGACGAAGAAGAACGACGACGCAAACAATCGGAGGTTAACGACGGCGTAGACAATCGGAGACAAACAACGCCATAGAAAATCCAAGACGAACGGCGGTGTAGACAATCACAACCATTAGAGAGCTGTTAGAACTCAGCAGAGACTATGATTGTGGGTTCGATAAATACAGAGAATCTCACCGGCGGTGATGGACGACAACGGTGAATTGCAAAAACTCTCTAATCTTTGGATGTGTATTTGAGGGTATATTAGTCTTTTGATTCAATAATTAATTATATTAATATTAAATTAAAGAGTGTGTGGTATATGTGGGAAAAAAAGATCTACGCTTTTGAAGCTGAAGAAAATATTTGAAATAGAGTTCTAAGGAGAATGAGCTCGGGGAAGAAAAAAAACTAAATGATACTATCCTAGGGTATTTCTCTAGGGAATTTTGTTAAGTCTGTCACTTTTGAAACTCAAATTTGTAAAACTGCCATTAACAAAAACCTCTTTCAAAACGTGCCACAAAAGAGGAATCTTGGACGATTTTGCCCTTGGTATTTGTTGAGTAAGGTTTGTGCGCGCCGTACAAAAATAGGAAGAGATGTGACGTTTTTTTGGGGCGCCAGCAGTGCAATTAATGCATGTGATGTAGCGTAATATCCTCTGGGTAATGAATAAGTAGATTCAAAAAATAGTATTGTTCATCATTATAAACTAACTTGTTCCACCATTAATTACGGAGGACAAGATAAATACATGTATCATCCATCATTATTGGTTGTTCTTTTTCACTACCCAACATTATTACCACACTAACATATGTATTATAAACAAATTAGTTTATAAAAAATGGAACAACAAGTTAGGGAACAAAATATGGACATATTATAGACATCGGGTCTGGTCCACCGGATCTAGTCTACCAGATCTAGTCCACGAGATTTGGTCCACCAGATCTAGTCCACCAGATCTGTCCACGAGATTTGGTCCATCTACAGACAAATGTGTAGTCAAGAGTGTAAACCTAGATGGATCTTAGATGATATTTCCATAGACGCATCACTTGTTTCATCATCTGGTCAATCGCTTATGACTTCAGAAGATCTGCGTGATGGACACGATTACTTGGTAAAAATAGACAAGTTTGGTCCACCGGAACTTGTTCACTGGATATTGTCTACCAGATCTAATCCATCGGAATTGGCTCGTCGGAAATAGAACAGACGATCTCTAGGGAGCATCTGCAAAGCTGATTGATATCCCTTTGTAGGAGAAAACATGGGTGAAAAAGATCTCACGAACTGGTTCACTGAATATGGTCCACCGGGTCTGATCTACCAGATTTGGTCCATCGAATTGACCCAGTAGAGATGCAGCACACAACTTCTAGACAACATTTGCAGAGCTGATTGATATCCTTTTATCTCTTGGTTTGTTAGTGGAGAAAGAAAGAGGAAAGTGAAAGAAGAAAAAAAAGAGACAGAGGAGAGATATGAGAAAAGAGAAGAAGATTATGTAAGAGGGTATAATCGTCTTTTAGTATATAGGTTGTGGCATGCGGGAGAAGGCAAAGTAACTAATGGCACTGAGTAAAAGATTTATTACTGTACATGGCAGAACTCACAATTTTCTCATTCTATATTAAAAGAGAAGTACAAAACTGTTATGGGTCGGTTCAATAGAAGTGTTTAACCCGGTTTATTCAATTGGATCTTTGATAGATCCAATTTAATTCATATAAATGGTCATATTAAATTTGATTGCATAAATTTAGGCAATTATAATTATATTATTTGCATATGTAAGTTCGGATTTCTTAATATTTCTCTTACTAACTACAAATAATATATTAAAAACAATTATTGTTCTTCTTTTATCTTTATGTGATCTTATTTTTAATTTATTATATTACAATATATAATACGAGTGTATGATAAAAATTCAACATATTTTTACATATGTTGCAATATGAGTTTTTAAAACGGACATATATTACTCCATAGACAAAAAAAAATGTATGTACATCGTCCTACATCGGTCAAAATATTTTTATGATAATTGTTCATATGATTATAAATAAGACAAACATGCATCGAACTACGAATGAGTAGTAAGCTTGGTTTATCATGCATCCAAATTTAAAAAGTTTTATTTGCTATAATTCGGTTTTAACTTTGAGTAAATTAAAACTTTAAAAATTTTAAAATATTATAACAGTCAAAAATTTAAAATATTTAAATATTAAAAAATTGAAGATTTATTAAAGTTTCAAAATATTAAAATTTTAAAATGTATAAATATTGAAACTTTTAAAAGGTTCATATATTATAAATATTCAAACTTGAAAATGATTCAAATATTATAAATATATAAAATAATTGCTAATTTTGCAGCGGATCAGAACATATATTAAATTATTGATAATTTTGCAACGGGTCAGAACATATATTAAATCATTGATAATTTTGCAACGGGTCAGAATATATATTAAGTCAAATTGAATTATATATCGATAAATATTATTTCGTACTATTAATTTTTTTTTTGTTTTTTTTTCTTTTATTGTATGAAAACGCATTATATTATCATTTACAATATTTTTCATTCTACTATTTCTCCGAAATCATTACATAAATATGATTCACCGCAATCAGTGGCCATTCAAGATTTTGTAAAAGTGGATTCCCTAAAATATAGGACATCCAGTTTTTGCCAATTTGTTAACAAAATCCAAAATCTACGTGACTTTTTATTTTTCTTTTTTGTTTATTTTCTTTATTTATTGTAAAATCTAAAAATTAAAAAATTAAAATCTATAAACTATAATCTAAAAACTACTTAAAATCTCCTAAACATTCATAGCCTATGTTTTTCACAGTCGGTGTCGATGATATGGTATGTGTAGGACGAGATGGTTAGTTGCCTACACATACAAGATGATGGACGAATTGAAAGTTTTAGAGAGATACAACTAGAGAAAAAATGTGATTCCATTAAAATCTAGGCTCCATAAAAGGAAAATAGAAGGTCGCACTACAAAGCATAAAACATAAACTTTAAACCTAAAACGAAAGAGGATGAAGACTTAACAACTAAAATGTTAAGAACACAAGCAAATAGGCATTAATTAAACCTGACAAATTAAAATACACTAGTCACAAGAAGCAAAGCAACAAAACATCTTCTTCTAAAATAGAGATTTAGAAATTAGGATGCCCACAACAACCCGAAATATATAATATATGATGAAGAATGTTAGAATGGTGAGTGAAAGTTAAAATTAGTTCTTCATAGCAAATTACAAAGTAAACTCCTAATCCTATATGTGTACATAGTTTTTTTTAGAAATTCAGTGTACCTCACATTCAAACTTATCTAATTTTAGAAATTTGGTATACCTCACATTCACACTGATAGCTTAGTCAATTTGGTTATGCAAAATCAAAAATTGTTGTTTTCGAGTTTTTTGTTTACTGATTAGATAAATAAGTTCAATAAACCTGACTGCTATAAATTTGGCGACTCGTCCTATGGACAAGACTGCATAAAGGAGATTTATATGTTTTGTTATTTTCGTTTTACACTTTTTTCACTGATAATTTAAATTTTTTTAAGAAAATCCTTCTTTTTTTATAAGAAAATCCTTCTTTTTTTATAAGAAAATCCGTTTATTCCAGTTTAATAAGATTTTCTTGATTACCAAAAAAAAAAAAAGATTTTCTTGATTGTATTTTTTTGAGATTTGAGATTAGTTTCCAAATGTCAAAATATTCTTTTTACTTGTAAGACTGAGTGACGTGTGGTGAACTGACTCGTGGCGCACGGACAGTGCCTTTTCGAGTTATGTCTGAAACTCAAAACTTATAGAGATGTGCGTGAAAGAGGCGCAACTAGAACTCATAATAAGAGAAGAAATGAAACTCTCTGTCACATCTTCTCCCTCAAGCATTTCAATTCTCTCTTTAATTTGGGTTTAAATCACCAAACCCACTTCGTGTTTTCTTCATATCTCTTCTGGGTTCCTCAAAAAATCTAACCTTTTATTAAAAAAAAATTGGTATCACTCACTGGCCACTGCTGATTCCGACCAGAGAAAAGAAAAAAATGGATTTGGAGTTTGCTGTTAATGGAGAAAGATTCAAGATTGATTCTGTTGATCCATCAACGACCTTACTCGAGTTCTTGCGATTGAATACTCCTTTCAAGAGTGTCAAGCTCGGCTGTGGCGAAGGCAAATCTCTCTTTCTCTCTTCTCTGTTTTTTTATCTGTTAGTGAAAATTTATTGCCTTTATGTTCAGAAACAATCCATATGTGTTGTTGAAGTCTTGTGTTCTGTTTTAATCTGTACCAGAATTAGTGAAGTTAATTCAATTCTGTGAAATCTAAATCTGAGTTCTCTATCTTCAGATAGATTTTAATGTCTTGACTAATAATGTAATGTGTGTTTATGTATAGTGCAGGAGGGTGTGGTGCTTGTCTTGTAATGTTATCAAGATATGATCAAGAGTTAGATCAAGTGAAAGAATGTAGTATAAACTCTTGTCTCACTCTTCTCTGTAGTGTAAATGGATGTTCAATTACAACATCTGAAGGTCTTGGAAATACAAAGAAAGGATTCCACCCTATACATAAGCGATTCGCGGGGTTTCATGCCTCGCAATGCGGTTTTTGTACACCAGGGATGTGTATTTCTCTCTACTCAGCTCTTTCAAATGCTGATAATAAAGAGTTTACGGTTTCCGAAGCTGAGAAATCCGTTGCGGGAAACCTTTGTCGATGCACTGGTTACCGTCCCATTGTTGATGCTTGTAAGAGTTTTGCTTCTGATGTTGATATTGAGGACTTAGGGTTCAATTCCTTTTGGAAAAAAGGAGATAGCAAAGAGGTTATGTTGAAGTCTTTGCCTCCTTATAACCCCAAAGAACATCTTGTAACATTTCCTGAGTTCTTGAAGAAGATAAAGAAGCTTCATAATGGTTTGGATCATTCGAGGTATCGTTGGATAACTCCTTTTAGTGTAGCTGAGCTTCATAATATATTGGAAGATGCTGATTCTATAGGCTCTTTGAAGTTAGTTGTGGGGAACACTGGGACAGGTTACTATAAAGATGAGGAACGGTTTGATAGATATATTGATATTAGTCAGATTCCAGAGATGTCAATGATCAAGAAGGATGAGAAAGGGATTGAGATTGGAGCCGCTGTTACCATATCGAATGCTATTGATGCTTTGAAAGAGGAAAGCAAATCTTTCTATGTTTTCAAGAAGATTGCAGCTCATATGGAGAAAATTGGCAACCATGCTATCAGGAACTCAGGGAGTATTGGTGGTAACTTAGTGATGGCTCAGAGCAGAAAGTTTCCTTCTGATATCACAACGCTTTTGCTCGCTGTAGATGCATCGGTGTATATGTTAAATGGCAGGAAAACCGAGAAGATGAGGCTAGAGGAGTTTCTTGAATTGCCTTCGGTTTTAGACTCCAAACGCGTTCTTTTAAAGGTTGAGATTCCATCATGTACTGCTGCTTGTGGTGATGACACAGAATTTTTCTTTAAAAGCTATAGAGCTGCACCTCGCTCTATTGGAAACGCATTGCCATATGTGAACGCTGCTTTCTTTGCGTTAGTGTCTCGCCAAGAACCATCAAGAAAAGGTGTAACGGTTGATAAATGCTTTTTGGCATTTGGTTCTTATGGCGGTGATCATTCAATCAGGGCGGTAGAAGTGGAGAGTTTCCTGACAGGTAAATTACTTAGCTACAGTGTTTTATATGAAGCTGTTGGTTTACTTAAAGGAATCATAGTTCCCGAGAAAGACACACCGCATCCCGAGTATAGAAAAAGCTTGGCTGTTGGGTTTCTTTTCGAGTTTTTCTACCCACTGATCGAGAGTGGCCATAGATTACATAATCTTGATACCGGGAAATCTCTTCCCTTCCTCTCATCTTCACAGCAAGTGTTGGAGAGCAATGAATATCAACCTGTAGGTGAAGCAGTTATCAAAGTTGGAGCAACATTACAAGCTTCTGGTTAGCTCTTATGCCTTCTGTTATTATCATTTTAAGTAACTCGATATCGGTTCAAGTAAAGATTCAATATAGCTTTCTTTCAGGTGAGGCGGTTTTTGTTGATGATATACCGACTTTACAAGACTGTCTTCATGGAGCATTCATTTATAGCACAGAGCCTTTAGCTAAGATAAAAAGCATAAGCTTCAGAGAGAATGTGACTCCTACTGGAGTTTTTGCAGTTCTTACTTTTAAGGATATTCCAGATCAAGGACAAAACATTGGTTCCAAGACTGTCTTGGGAACAGGACCTTTATTTGCAGATGAACTAACTCGATTTGCTGGTCAAAGAATTGCTCTTGTGGTAACTTCAAAATTTCCTCTTCTTTTTCTTTTAAATTCTTTCTCGTCTTTCGTTGCGTAACTAATCGAAAAGTATATGGCTTTGTAGGTTGCAGACACACAGAAACATGCAGATAAGGCAGCAACACTTGCAGTAGTTGAGTATGATACAAAGAATGTAGAAGAACCTATACTAACTGTTGAAGATGCAGTGAAAAGATCAAGCTTTTTCGAGGTTCTTCCAATGCTTTACCCGGAATCAGTAGGTGATGTTTTAAAAGGAATGGAAGAAGCAGAACGAAAGATAATCTCGGCTGAGGTATCACAACTGCGTTTCCCGATCTTTCACCACCAAAGTTTTGTAGTTACATCTAATTTATGTGTTTGAAACTTGGTTATATATGAATCACAGTTGAGGCTGGGGTCACAGTACTTCTTCTATATGGAGCCACAAACAGCACTTGCCTTGCCAGATGAAGACAATTGTGTGAAAGTATTTAGTTCATCACAAGCACCTGAGTACGTGCACGCGGTAATTGCTACTTGTCTTGGCATCCAAGAACATAATGTAAGAGTCATTACTAGAAGAGTTGGTGGTGGCTTTGGTGGTAAAGCTGTAAAGTCAATGCCTGTAAGTATTTGGTTTCTTTTGGTGTGTTTTAGAATATGGCCAGCCGCTCGTGAATGCTCATTGAAATCGATGTTTTCAGGTCGCAACAGCATGTGCGCTAGGCGCATTCAAGTTGCAGCGTCCTGTTAAAATGTATATGAACCGCAAGACTGATATGATAATGGCTGGAGGAAGGCATCCAATGAAAATATCTTACAATGTCGGTTTTAGATCAGATGGTAAGCTCACTGCACTGGAGTTTACAATGCTAATAGATGCAGGGTTTGAGACAGACGTAAGTCCAATCTTGCCACGGAATATAATGGGTCCGCTAAGGAAGTATGATTGGGGAGCTTTGTCATTTGACATAAAAGTTTGTAAGACGAACTGCCTGAGTAGAACGGCAATGAGAGCTCCTGGGGAAGTACAAGGTTCATACATTGCGGAGTCTATTATCGAGAATGTAGCCTCTTCTCTTCAAATGGACGTTGATGCAGTGAGAAAGATAAACCTTCATAGTTATGACAGTCTTAGAAAATTCTACAAGCATATTGCTGGTGATCCTGATGAATATACATTGCCTTTACTATGGGACAAACTGGAGAAATCTTCTAAATACAAGGAGAGAGCTGAGATGGTGAAGGAGTTTAATGTGTGTAACGTATGGCGGAAGAGAGGGATATCTCGAGTACCTATTCTCCATCAAGTTATGCAGAGGCCAACACCGGGGAAAGTGAGCATTTTGAGTGATGGTTCTATTGTGGTTGAGGTTGGAGGAATTGAGATAGGACAAGGATTGTGGACTAAAGTACAACAGATGGTTGCTTATGGTCTCGGTATGGTTAAATGCGAAGGAAGCGAAAAGCTGTTGGAGAGAATACGGGTTGTTCAGTCTGATACACTTGGTATGATCCAAGGAGGTTTCACTGCTGGTAGCACAACATCAGAGAGTAGTTGTGAAGCTGTAAGGCTTTGTTGTGTTACCTTGGTGGAGAGATTGAAACCTACAATGGATCAGATGATGATTGAGAAGCTTGGTTCAGTGACATGGAACATGCTTATTCAACAAGTAGGTAGCCTAGTAAATAAAATTATGATACTAGTTACTCTAACATAGATAACCTTAGAGTTTGCATATATGTGTTTTGTCAGGCGTATGCTCAGACTATTAATTTATCAGCGAGTACAATGTATAAGCCAGAGTATTCTACTATGGAATACCTCAACTATGGAGTTGGAGTCAGCGAGGCAAGTCACTATGGGAAACTATTCTTTTAAAAAAAATTGAATCAGTCCAACACTAATCTGAGTCTACTTGCAGGTGGAAGTGGACATTGTGACAGGAAAAACCGAGATTTTACAGTCCGATATCATTTACGATAGCGGGAAAAGTCTTAATCCTGCAGTTGATTTAGGACAGGTTAGTATTTAGTTAGCTCCACATGTTTTCTTAGCTTTCTTTTATCATTTTGTTGAGCTAAGAAGAAAAAATGAATGGTTTGTGAAAAGATCGAAGGAGCGTTTGTTCAAGGACTCGGGTTTTTCATGATAGAAGAGTACACTACTGATGAGAAGGGACTTGTGGTGCAAGAAGGCACTTGGGACTACAAAATTCCTACTGTGGATACAATCCCCAAACACTTCAATGTCGAGATTCTCAACTCCGGTCATCACAAAAACCGTGTTCTCTCTTCCAAAGGTACACTATACTTTTCCTTATCCTATTTGAGCTAACTTTTATCTGCTCCATACTGTATTTGGGGGTTCACTACTTACATAAGCAACAACTTCATTCTCATCTGTAGCATCGGGTGAGCCGCCATTGCTTTTAGCGGCTTCTGTTCATTGTGCAACGAGATCAGCTATTAGGGAAGCTCGGAAACAGTCCCTTTCATGGAACTACAATGAAGGGTCTGGTTCGGATTTTGAGTTGCCGGTTCCAGCGACTATGCCCGTGGTGAAGTCGCTATGCGGGTTGTATAGTGTAGAGAAATACTTACAAGGGAAGATCAACGGACAATAAAGGCAAGCAAATCTCTCTTGCTGCAAAATTTACAGTTTTACACATACTAAAATTTGTCATTCAAAATTTCTTTATAGAGCGAATATAAATTGTTTTGTGTACATCTTTGTGCATAATACCAAAACCAAATCAATAAATCACTACTTGGAATGGTTTATATTATGCTTTTCCGAAACTAAAATGTTCTGTTAAATATGTATGGTTTAATGAACTTTAACACTCTAACTTTGTATAGTATCCTCGTTACAGTATGTTTTATCCGTATATGCAACAATCGAGATTCGTATAAATTGTTGCATATAACACTAATTTCTATGTTAAGCTGGTTTTCTTGTAACCAGAGGATTAATATCATAATTCATAACCTCAGGAATGTGTCAATGAATTACAGAAAAGATACAGTTTGGTTACGAATAATAAGTTTTTTAGAAAAGGAAGATACTAAATTATTTATATATCAATCCATCAAATAAATTATTTATATATCAATCCATCAAAGTCTAGAAATGTATCAGTCAGATAAGAAAACAGAAATTTTAATACTTAGATGATTCTACAACCTGAACTGCACATTAGATTATATTATATTCCTAGAAGCAAACCTGATAAAATGTTAACCCACTTAAACAAGTGTCATGGAAGCTCTCAAAAGAGAACTGAGCAAGTGTTAAACCAACCTTAACACTGATCAGGTATCGTGGGATTGGTCTTTCTCGATGAAGTCCAATGCCTGATCCTTTGAAATAACATTCACGACACTCACTCTGTTCTTATGAAATACTCCGTATATCTTATCCGCAACTCTCACAAGCTCGGGACGGAAAGTTGTGGTTATGAACTGAGTACCACAATCATCAGCTAGACGACGAATCAAGTTTCCCACAGCGGTTCGGTACTGAGGGTCAAGAGCCGCATCAATCTCATCGAAAAGATAGAATGGTGCAGGATCACATCGCTGGATAGCAAAGATTAATGCGAGGGCAACAACGGTCTTTTGGCCTCCTGACAATTGTTTCATTGATTGTGTCTCCCCTTGACCAGTAAATGACACCTACCAAACAAGCGACAACTACTATCAGCCTGAAAGCTAAACCAATGATGATAATAAACATTTCTTTTTACATAATTTCGATTGTGTTTTTATGTACCTTCACGCTTACACCAAGGTACTTCTCAAGCCTTCCCTCTGCATCAGTTTTACGACTTCCATCATCGTCATCATCTTCATCATCATGATCACGATCCTGAATATGTAGGCAAAATGTTATCATGTCCACTTAATTAATTAGTGAAGGGATCACACAAGCTTTTACACAGAGATAAGAATCATCCAAACAACTTCAGTGAAGATACTACTGGTAGTTATACGTAATTCCTTGGTGGAGACAAAGTAAAGGTTTATGTGATATATCATTCTAAATGTAAGATGACGAATATATAATAATACTAGGGATGTACTCTCACACTTAAGGCTCACTAGAAGACCTCTGCACATGGTTTAGTAGAATACTAAATATATCTCTTTTGATTGTACTCTAGAATTAGTCAACCACTTTGGTAATGGAAAAACTCACAAGGGATTAAAACTAAACAAAGGACAGAGATTAAAAAAGTGTTTACGGGGAAAGGGAAGCAGAAACATACCCTTAATTTCTTTATGAGAAGCTGACCATGTCCACCTTGCACAAGCTCAGAGAATACCTCCCTGAAGTGATGTGCAACCCCTTTGAATGTACGTTCTATAGATTCGTCTTTCCGCTGATCCAGAACTGTTATAAGTTCTTTAATTTTCTGCAGAACCGTTAGATTTGTCAGTCAAGTTCTATTTTCTATATAGAATTTGGCAAAGAGTATGAAACCTCCCATTTATTACCTCATCTCCTGCATCAAGCTCTGCTTGCCGATTCTGAAGTTCTTCTCGCTGTTCTGTGAAATTTACATATTGATCAAGCGCCTTCTTGTTAACATGGCTGAATTGTTGCAGCTGTTCACTGCACCGGTGTAGCATCTTCTGCAGCTCCTTGACATTTTTTCGTTTATACCTATAATATTTCATCACTTTGCATATTATAAAACTCTTAGGAAAAAATTCTCAGGACATATAGCAATGATTTGCCCATGACAACTAAGACCTATTTGGAAAAGATAAATGGCTATTGAGGACAGTATAGCTGTAAAAGTTCCAACTAAAATTAAGAAGGCTGAAATGGCTGGAATGATGACCAATATGTAAGAGAAGAATCAAACATACGTGTCAAAAGCGTCAGATGACAATGGACCCAATCCCCTAATCTTCTTTGTATACTCATCCTGCTTAGCAAGGAGTGTGTTGCGAAGGCTAAATAGTTCCTCCAACTCTTTATCTACATCTTGCAGAGTCCCTTTACATTTATCTTCCAATATCTGAGAGAAAAAGTGTTTTTCATTGTCAGATACCTATACAGACGAACGCCAGTCTCTTAACTTACAGAATATACTACCTTTAACGTTTCTTTCTCATCTTTAATTTTCTTGACTTGCTTTTTCTTCTCGTCAATGTTGTTACAGAGACCTAAAAACACAAAATTGTAGTGAGTGTACTCGTACGAATAGTAAAAGATCAAGATCAAGATCAAGCAAAATAGATCAGAATGTTTGGGACCCACTTTTGAGCTCTTTTGCCGCCTCATTTACCAAAAAATTTGCATCATCAAGTTCTTGTGCTTTTAAGCCAGCTGAACTAGGCAAACTATCATCGTCAATGGAAGCTATACTAGCTTGTAACTCATTTATTCTCCTCTTTAAGTTGGTAGCCAAATTAGCCTCCAACTCTGCTTTTCTTGTCTCCCTCTGTGTGTGATGAAAAGCAGACATCAGACTTATTCCAAAAAAAGAAACGAACATAAATCACGACTTATTCAAACACAATAAATGCACACATGTTAGACTTATTCAAACAAAAAATGCACGCAAATTAGAAATCAACCTAAAGCAAAAGCAATACCAACCTCAATGCGATCAGTCGTGTATGCAAATTGCTTTTCCTTAAGATTCTTAATCTCGGGGTTTAATCGCGACAATTGCTCCCTTTCTTCTGGAGTTAGGTGATCCACAAGTTCTGTTCCCATTTCGGCTTCCTTCATAGCCATGCTGGATCTAATCTGATCAATTTGTGTTCTAATATCACCTAGTGATTTCTCCTGCAAACAGATGACGAAATTTAGTATTTACAATACATAGGGACGATATAATTAACAATGACGGCCACTTCAAAAAATGAATTAACAGATTAAAGGAGCATAAAGAAAGGTACCTTATTTTCAAGAGCTTTATATATAGCATGTTTCTGCTTATTCGCGTTTGCTATTTCTTGCTTAAGTTGCTCCACCTGTAATCTGCAGTGCGTCCAGTCTGCTTCAAGTCTCTGCTGCTCAGTAACAAACTGTGTAATCTGCTGATCTATCAGTGAGACATGTTAAGTAAACGCTGTGAATGGGGAACTATTGACATGGAAAATGAAAAGAAATAAACAGATACTCAACACACATCAATGAACAATATGATATAGTTCATCAGAAAACAAAAATGCAATAACAAATAAGCCAAAGTCAGTTACGGAAAGGATATCTTGCAGCTGCCCTCTAACATCCTTCAATTCATTCTCTTTCGCATTTATAGACTTTGTATTTTGTATTATAATATTCATGAATCTCAATTTTGACCGCCTGTGGTCATAAAATCCACCTGTCATACCACCCTTTCTGCTCACCTGGTCACCTGTCATGGTACACCATAACCTTCATGTACCAAATACATGCTGAATGGAATGTATAGTGAATATAAATGCAATCACAGTTTCAACCTTCCATAGTTATGCAATCGAGGCCATGATTCTTAGCAACTCTTGTTGCTACATTCAGATCTTTACATACTACTGTTCTTCCAAAAACCTACATCAAGACACATTACAATATAATAATGACATTAACATAAACACAAAGTACAATAGTTCCACCAAATGTACTTATATATCTAAATAAGTGGGCCATATGAAAACAAAGCTCAGAAAGTGACAAGAAATTGCTGGGCAAAAAAGTAGTCAGAACAAAAAAAACACCTGAGCCAATGCTGGTCCAAACTTAGAGTCGTACTTTAACTTTCTCAGCAGTGGTATTGCATCAGAATCCTGCGGAAAGTTTACATGGGGCGCCTTTACCCGATTCAGAGGTAAGAAGGTCACTCGTCCACCCTTTAGAGAATTCAGGTGTCTAATTAACTTCGTTGAAATATCATCATTCTCAACTACCACGTGAAATAGGCTGGTCATGGAGCAAGAGATGACAAGAGCAGATCAGAAGAAAGAAAAAAGAGCCACATAGTGAACAGTATGATACTGTAGCTGTGAGGTAAATATGAGCAGGTTTCCCACATACCTGTTTCCTGCAGTGACTTCAACTGCAGTGAAAAACTTTTCATCGCAATCAACCAACTCAACAAGTGGACCAAAAAATCCATTGATCTTATACTCTGAGCAATACCGTCGAATACTGTGCAGCCCTCGCCTTACATCCTGAGAAAACAAATGGGTTGAGTCACCAGAAACGGAAATAGAAAATGGCTTGTCAACTTCTAACCATGGCTAAACAGTTACCAATTTTCCTCCATATTACTGTCAGCAACAAGAAAAGGGATACCAAAGCAATCACTTACTCCTGGAGTTGCATGCTCGAGGTTTTTCTTTGCCCGTTCAAGTTCCGTTTTCAACTTCTCGATTTCGGAAGATAGTTGACTTTCTTCTCCCCATTTTTCCCTGGTGTACATATATCCAGTTATATCAAAATAAAAATTTCTACTTTCTTATAGGTATATGAAATGACAGCATTTCCTACTTTCTAATTCTCTGTTCTTCATCTCTCTCCCTCTTTTTAATATTGTATAGTTCATGGGACTTGGAAATTTGAGATTCCAGTTCACCAATTTCAACTTCATGTTTCTTGATGCGTCCATCACGCTCTGTAAGATCAGTATTGAGGCGAAATATTTCATCTTGAAGTTTTTGCTCCTACAATAGAATTAACATGTTGGATCACCAATCACATCCAACTGATTACATATAGTTACTGCAAAAGATGAAACTATACAGGAATCTAAATGTCATTGACATTTTTACAGTCTTTCAACATTAAAACATTGTGTGACCATATGAGCTAACTATATACTACAGAACAACTTCCATATTTAATAAT